ACTACTTACAATTTGTCCGTACCTCCAGACATGTTACGTTTCTATTTTCCTAATAAAATGCTCATATCACCTGAAGGTTTGTTTGACCGTTAGTAACGTAGATTGGTGAAGAATTAATAACTTGTTTGATATGTATTAATTTTGAATATTTGGCAACAATTTTTTTAGTTAGCTATAGATATCTGGTACTAGATTTTAATTATGTTTTCAGTTTAGGAGGATTGTCCGGGTTAAGTTTGAATCTTTTACACTGTTTTAGGATGTAGGAAATATGTTTTGAATTAATTATGGTAAAAATAAATTATCACTACATCAATAATAAATTTCATTAAAACATGTGTAAATTGAAATACCAGACGTCTAATTCATATTATGAAGTAGACGTCTGGTACTTGAATTAATTATGTTTTTATTTTAGGAGGTTTGTTAGGATTAAAATAGAATCTTTTACACTGTTTTTTCGATTTCAGAATTTTTTTTTTATTAATTACGATAAAAATAAATTTCACTAAAAATTGCATATAACAAAATACAAATATATTATTTTATATTTTTTTTAACATGGGTACTCCCATTAAAAATTTATTCTCTCAGACCCAGATAATCCTTTTGTGGCTGAAGATGATACTCATACACAATAATTGAGTTGCAGTGGAGAACAGTCAAGATGTTTTTCAGAAAACAAAATTATAACCATTCACATAACATTATTTCACATACCACTATCAGCAGAGTGTAGGGGAACCTGACTTAGGATAGATCGAATCTGAATTAAAACCGAATCAGCACACCCCGACTCCACATAGTCTTGTCTGCCCTACCCCTTTACCAATAGAGTGTTTTGCTTGGGTGCGGAGGGAGTGCAGCCCCTGCTGCTCCCCACCGTGGCTTTGGCTTATTAGTCACCTTCGGTGATCAGCCTTACCTGATACGACCTTCACAGGTGCCTGCGATTTGCTACACAAGGGTGCAGGGGCTGCTGTAAAGCTGTTTCAGTAATTACTTTGGGTTAATATTCCTGTGTAAAAAAAGAGATTATGATTTTACAAAAAAAACGTTACTCATAAACTGTACTTTTCCGCAAGGTAGAAAGGGAAGGAGAGGCTTCCCTTGAACAGGAAACTCACCCCCATATGCAAGTACCGGATGTCTATAGTTTCACCTTTTTTACTACAGTTTTTTTTAATATTTCATATGTTTCAATGTTATGTAAATAAAATAAATTCACTAAAAAAAATAACACATTTAAAAGTATGTTATATATATATAGTGGGATAAAAGAATATCAATACAACCAATTCGATAATTTGACATATTTAACATACAACCACACTCACAAAATTTGTACAAATGCATGTGTAAAGTATTAAATGTAAAAGTTTTAATTATATAATAATATTTTCTAATGTATTTTGACACAAATGGGTAATGAATTAGAAGGCACTGACTACTGACATAGGTCATCCCAGTTTTGGAGTCAGGGTTCATTGATGTTGTTATACAATTGAAATGTCAAATATATATTTTATTATTATTATCATATTCCAGGTATAACAGTGCCAAATAAAACATATGCTTATAGCTTCAGAGGTGAAATAGTAAATATGGAGCAAAATGAAATAGATTTAAAAGCCACATTTGACCCTGAGATATTTTTCAATATCATTTTACCTCCTATTATATTTCATGCCGGATACTGTTTAAAAAGGGTAAGTTTAATTCAAAAGTTAATGTGAAGTTAGAACTAGTAACATAGTAGTATATTTATTAAAAAATAAATATAACAGAATAAAATTTTCATGGCTATCAAGTGAAAAGCAGTAAAGTAATGAATGCCCGCTATGCCGCTTACATACATTTGAACTGAGACTACGCTTCATGCTAGATTTATGGAGTTGAAAACTAATTGCAACCTGTTTGTCCACGTATTCGCGAAGGACATCTCTCCATAGATACAAAGCGCGAATCGAATCTACCTACAAATTAAAGACATGTCGGATTATAAGGGGGGACGGATTAGCCAGGGACCGGATTACGGGAGTTCCACTGTAATGTTTTATTCTTTTAATTTTAGTATAGAACATTAATCAATACTTCATACATAATGGTTAAAATGTACACTTTTAATTGCTTTAAATCATACTCATCTTCCATATAAATTAGTAAAGTAACAACTTATAAACATCCCACTGTTGGCCTCATTCCTGAGAGGATTTTAGAACAAGAAAAAGTCTGCCTTATGTCTGTTGCTGCCCCCAATGGAAGTTAAGAAACTTCACATGTGCCTAATTTTTATTTTTATATTTCTTAAACTGCAAAGCACATAATGGATCGACACATAAAATTAAATTATAAAAATACTTTGCTTTCTTCAAATCTCAGTAGTGAAAGCGAATTTAGCTACCTCACATACAATGATGTTTTAAGGTGAATGTTTATCAGCTGAGCTACCACAGCTCTTCCATTTCATTTATCTCACTTAATATATAAAATAATCTTTTAAAAACTTGTTTACATTACTTATCTTGAGGATCACACACATTTTATCTTCAATCATAATTGAGAACAAGAAACATTTTTATCTTAATACATCACATTTGAAGGTTACTCTGCCTTAATATTATATGATATTCCTACATACATAATATACAGGATGAAATTGAAATCATTCTTATAGTTTTAAACTTAGAATAAGACACAAACTACATTAGGCTTTAATAAGGCAAATCTAAAGCAAAAATATTGATCTAAAGCATAAACACTAAATACCTAAACAATTATAGATAATTAAATAATTAACACCAATAAATCCTGAACTCTCAAAATGTAGCAAACACAATTTTTAGATCAGGGAACGGCAAATGCAAACTCAAGATTGCATGTATTCACAAAATGGGCATAATTTTTAACTCTTCAAAGGCAAGGCAACATATGCCGTAAAGCCGCTTTTACCTTTCCATCAGTTATGGATTTTTTGTACCTGGCTTTTTCAATTATTGTAATACAATGAGAAAATAAAATAAATTATAGAAGGCAATGCCTTCAATAAATAATTTGATATCATATAGGTGTTGAATGTCAATTGATTGACGATCTGCCGGCTGTTGCCTAGGTTACTCAGGGTTTTTGGATCCTGTAGCATCGTAATTGTGCTTGAATCCTATTCTGCCTTCAATCTTAACTTTTTACCTGTTACTTGTAGATTATATAAAGCTTTTTACGTGGTAGAGCCATGCTGCAGTTATATTAGTAGTATAGTTGTAGCACGAACAGGTCGGCTTGACCGGGGAAGGACCACGCTCTCACAGAATACGAGCATCAAATAGTAGCTTAATGCTGCTGTGTTTCGTATATTGAGTGTAGAGAATCGGAGACCCTTTTTACTGGAAACGAGGCATTCCATCTTAGTCCTCACGGGTGACAATGCATCTACATTTTGATTCATAATTGAGGAAAGATGTGGATATCTATGGGCGACAGCAAATATTTACCATCAGGTGGACTGTGTGCTCATTTGTACCCTATCATATAAAATATATATATATATATATATATATATATATATATATATATATAAAGCTTATAATATCTCCGAGACAGTTGATAATTATACTTAACACATTCATTTTCAGAAATACTTTTTTCGAAACTTGGGCGCAATTTTGACATTCGCTATGGTGGGCACGGCGTTGTCGGCTCTAGTCATTGGCTCGCTGATGTATGGATGCGTGCAACTCATGCCGGCATCGCTTGCAGCCAGCTTTACGTTCCTAGACACACTATACTTTGGTGCATTAATCTCTCCCACAGATCCACTAACTGTTCTCGCTATATTTTCACAGCTTAAGGTACGATAATATTTACACATTTTATCAGTTTTTTACGGTAATTATTGTAAACCTTAATTGAATGTAATAAAATACTTTTTCAGGTGGATGTTAACTTGTATGCAATGATTTTTGGGGAGAGTGTTCTAAATGATGCTGTGGCTCTAGTTCTAAGTGGGTAAGCAGGTTTAGTTCCAATAATTTAAATATTTTCAGTAACCATTTGAAAATATATACCACTTTAGTAAATATTTTCTTGTGATATGTAGTTTCTTTTATTTGGTAGAACTGTTTTCCTTATTGAACGAAAAACATCGTAATTACCATATTTAAATGTGCCATAATTTCAACAAAATGTTACGTAAGAAACCTGTTACGTGTGTAATTTGAGTTTTCTACGCTGTTCATGCGGATAATATTAACAATGTGTTTATCGTATATTTGACACCAAATCACGGTTTTGTTAATTACAGAGCTATTCAGAATTACGAGAAGAGATATTCAAACGATGGAGGTTTTGAAATCACCGCGTTCCTCGGTGCTATCGGAGATTTCATAGGAATTTTCAGCCTTTCTCTACTCGTCGGTGCATTTATGGGTTGCTTGACAGCACTGATATCCTTTTTAATATACCAGAAACGTTTTTATGAGGGGGTTTTGGGTAATTCAAATCAGTCCCTTAATCATACGAAAACTTCGATTTACGATCCGATTACGATTACGATCGACGATTCAGACGACTACCAAACTTTTGGTTATGTTGACTTTAATTTTAATTTTAACACGCCTCAAAATTTCGTAATACGCGGACAGACTTAAATGAAATAGTTATTTGCCAGATGCTTGGCGGTAACGGGTTACATCGTAGCTAAACCTGCATATCTGAGAAATTAACAAATGTTTCAGAGAAATGTATTTTTTTAATCATATTTTGCATTTATAGTAAACATTTAATTGATGCCAGTGGGCATCAAACTCGTGGTAGGGTAGGAACTGTGAAAGTTACGGCGAGTCTAAAAATTGAGTATAGACAAATTATTGACACAATATTATCATAATTAATGTTTTAGAAGTTATTATATATATATATATATATATATATATATATATATATATATATATATATTATTTTATATATGTGTTTATTTATCAAAATTTTGTTTTCCTTAACCAATGCAACACATGACTAAGTTCACCCACGTGCGTGATTGGCCTTTGCTCGAGTCGGCGCTCTTCGTGCTCATGTCTTACGCCGCCTTCCTGATCGCGGAAGTATGCGAACTAACCGGTGAGTTATTTTTAAATTCAGTTTTACTTCAACGGAATTTTTTTTTACGATTTTCATTTATAGCTTAAAGACCCGCCCCGGCTCTGCATGGATATCAGTAAGTATTTCAGTTCGGATGTCTGACGCCTTTGCTAACAACAATGTGTACCCTCGTGTATAATTAACATCGTAAATGCTCGGCTATCACTACCAATGAACATCGAGTTAGACAAAACAAGGCAATATATTTGATATTGACTCAGTGGAGGACGCGCGTTTCCTTTTTTACACAAACGTGGTAAAAATTTATGAAAAACGCTTCTCAAAATTTAAACTAGTCCAATAGGCTTGAGATGAAGGTGACTTTAGATTTAAATTTTTGGCAATTTAGATAATATGCATAAAAAATAATTACAGTTTTTTTGATTATTATGTTGATTAGATTATAACATGTTTTATTTTAGTTAACTTATTCATTCTATTGTACAAGAGTACATAATCTAAAAGCATAATAATGACTTTTAAATTAATTTTAAATATAAACAAATTGTATTTTCGTCATAACAGAATTTATCATTATGAAGGACTTGCCAGTTTACGAAAGAGTAGCTCGCTGATTGCCCAAGATGCTTACTGTAGCTTTCTGCGGCGTGCACCTTTTTACTGAAAACGAGGCATTTCCATCTAAGTTTTCAGGGGTGCATTGTACCACCTGCATTTTGATTCTTAATCGAGGATAGATGTAAATGCCTATGAGTTACCGCATCTACTTACCATCGGTATCAGGGTTGGCATGATTAAAACAAGTTGTTTTAAAACAGGGTTTAAAACAGTTTGAAATAAAACTTTGTTTTATATTAATTGTTTAAAAACACAGCTCAAAACAAGTATTAAAATATGTTAAAAACATTAAGAAAAAAACAGGGTTTAAAACTACTTTTAATTTTTTTAAATGCAATTGATTGGAAGTAAATGAAAACAAATAAGTAATTAGAACCCAAAATAGCTTGAAATAAATTTATAACTTTAGTTTATGTTGTATTTTTCATTTAAATTAGGAATTATAAGGAAAAGTTTATTTGTCAATTATAATTACAACATTATTTTATTACAAGAAATTTATTTTTACATGGACAAACAAAACAGTAACTATTAATATTATGAATTATAACTAAGTAGGTACCATTAAATAATCATTTATGTCTCACAAGATTACAACTATTTTTAAAACACATTAAATTTAAAGTTAAAATGTTAAATAATAACAATTTTAATGAATAAACAACTAGTTATTATAAATTAACAAAAAATGTTAATTGTGTGAGACAGACAGTTTGCAGATTTCTCGGTAACTAGTTTATTTTACGTCGAATTCAATAAATCCAAATGTTGAACACAGTCTTTCAATTCCAGCACTTGAAACAACAGCAGTGTGAAGCTGTCTTACTAAGGCCATTTTTTAGTAGTTAATTTGTTTTTTTTATGATGACCACCATTCGAGAGGTCCACCGTGATTTACTACATGATCTTCAAATAAAAATTTATGAAATGGATCTGTCATTGCCCTGTATTTTACAACGTAGGGCATTACCACTTTGTGATAAGCGTCAATAAAAGATAAAGCTTCAGAAATATCTTCACTTGTGAGGTTTTCGCCCCTGTACACATTGCCCTTTCAAACCGGGCATTGAACTTACTTAAATCACCCCGTGAATACTCGATCTCGCGCTGTCGTACGGTCTGACCCTCATACATATTTTTAAGCTTTTTCCATGCTTCAGTCACTTCGCCAATACAGCAGGATGTCTTCTGGGGGATATCAAGTGTAAGTGCAATATTTTCCAGTTTCCTGTGGAGGGCCTGGGCTTGTTGCTTTAGCGCCATGCACGGAGCAAATTGCTCCGTGGCGCCATGTCATTTACTTTCGATGAAATTGACAAATTATGTCTGATATAATATGCCAGTTTTCCAAAAAAAAAAACTTTAAGGCAGTCGGCCATCATGTTTCACCATACCTGTTGCGGTCAGTACCGTCTTTACCATAAGGGCACACGGGGTCCGTGCCCAGGGCCCCTGTCGTCACGGGAGCCCCCTGATGAAAGACATCGGCCTTATTCGCTTATGCTATACAATCTACCGTGATTCTTGCAAATAAAAATTTAAGATTATGATTGATTATGATTATCTTTTTTCTATTTTAGGAAATTATAATCCGACATAAAAAATTAAAGAGTAAATGAGGGCATTGTTAGTGACTTTCTGGCTACCCTGAGCAATGACAAGCCGCACATTGCTGAGTTAGCCAAATAAAGTGGCATTGACATATTTTCAAGGAAAACATGTAGTTCCGCGTTTTGCCCCCATCTAAACGTTTTTGTCGGGCTGTACAGTCGCCTTACTTATATAGCCTGGAATTTTATTTTTATTTTTCGCAATGTATGTAGTCTTTATAATCTATGAAATGTCAAATATTTTAGCTCATTGTAAGTGGCGCCGCCCTGGTGGCGGAAAAAGTCGTGAAGCCCTCGTTAATGATATATTATTTGATTTTTACCAATTAACTATGTAAATATAAGATCATAGCCGAAAAATATTTTAGTTTATCACTTTTTTTACTTTCCAACAGGGCCCTAAACTCTTGTGTGCCCAAGGGTCCCGGTATGGCCTAAGACGGCATTGGTTGTGGTATAACAACTGCTTTTCCACCAGCTTGTTTATATTTGACAGATGCAAAGTGATTGTATTTCGAGTACCGCGTTATTGATTTGACTTTCTCAGTATTATCTTCTGTATTCAATATATTACTGAGAAAGTCATCACACGTATTAAACTTTCGCTAAAAGGTTTAATATGTGTGATGAACAGCCGTATTTAAGAATATCCTTATGAGACGCTAATTCTTCTTGTTGCGTCAAATCGTATATATATGCGTTTTTTGAAGTTTCATTTTAATATATATTTCCGGGATTTAGGGGACCCTCTCTGTGATCTCTTTGATCGAATGAAGTATCTTAGGACAGGGGGCGGTGTGTATCCACGTTCCTCACATATAATGGAGCTCCTGTGATACGACACACGAATTTATTTTGGACAACTTGAAGTCGTCGAATTAGGTATGAAATGTTAGAAAAGAAGGCTCTCGTATTTATACACCTCATAGCTAATTTCTCGCCGTTAAAGTCCCGCTGGGAATATCCCTGTTTCGATCGTCGTTGAAAAAAAAAATAAGTCACTGGATTAGCCGGTGGGTATTCGCCTAATTTAAATACAGGGAAGTTTCCCCTGTTAATAATGAACATATTGTATGTAAAACGTTTATTATTGATTGGAGATACGCAACAAAAAATGAATGTATATCGACTAATAGATTTTTGTAAATGTTTACTAAGTAAGGCGAATTCAAAAATATTCTAAAAATTAATTAATTAGGACTGATTGATTTTAAATTTATGACAAAAAATTAAAAAAGCACAAAAATTAGAACTGTTTTTATAGGATACGGGTGACAAACGAGCACACAGTCTCCACCTCACGGTAAGTGGTTGCTGTGGCCCATAGACATCTACATCTACCTTACGAATTAAAATGTAAATGCGTTGTCACTCGTGAGGACTAAGATGGAATGCCTCGTTTACAGTAAAAAGGGTCTCCGGTCCTCTACACTCACCAAACGAAACACATCAGCATTGAGCTGCTATTTTACGCTGGTATTCTGTGAGAACGTGGTCCTTCCCCGGGCGAGCCGACCCATTCGTACAACTATACTACAAATATTTTTTTATGAAATAAAAAAGATGTTTTTTTTTTTCAACCCTGATCCACAGTATAAATAATATTTCTACGTACAGAAGTTGCACTTCCTTGATGATGACGACTTGCCAACGCTTTAATAGCCTACATCATTATTATTAATCATATAAATTATCATAGACGTAAGCTAAATTATACTTTATCGCTGCGCGCGAGTGCCCGTATGGCCTAGCATTTTTCCCCTTCCTACGTCACGGATGATATTCCGTGGTTACCTAGGGCTTTCAACAAAGAGTAAAAAAAATACAGTATTTACATATACAGTAAACCCTCGTTAATGCGAACACGGTTAACACGAATTTTGATTTAAGGCGAACAAAAATTTTCAATGTAATTATGTTCGGTTAAGACGAACCCTCGTTAATCCGAACTTCGAACAACTTTTTCGTCCCTTCACGGTTAATTATCGGATAATACGAACTATAAAAATTCCCAAATCATGTATTTTGTATATTTTTTGTCCTTTTTCGGTCAATACAAATACCGATAAACTATGGCTGAAGAGATTAGAAAAGTCATTAACTCGAGTTTCTTAAAATAGACAAAGGATTTGGATATCAAACATTCACTCGAGTATCTAAAAATAGAAACAATACCTCAAATTTTCTTTCCATCTTACAAAAGCTATTGAAAAGTTTGTAAACTTTTGAAAACTAATTAACAAAAGCAAAGGCTTCTTAACAATTTGGCTTTGTTAAGAAGTGTACATATAAACTGATGTCTGATGAACATAATAATAATGTTAAGTTATAAATGATATGTAAAAATAATGTTAAGTTAAAAAATTTATAATAAAAAATTATTGTAAATATAAAATAATAATATCAAAGTTATTAATAAAAATGTTTCTATGATGAATCATAATATTGAGTTTAGAAACACGAATTCATTTTTTGCATTGTTCGGATTACACGAACTCCCCTGTAACACGAACTATTTGTCTGATTTTTTCATGTTCGTGTTAACGAGGGTTTACTGTAGTACCTTTTAATTATTTGGTTAATTTACAACTGTTTACTGTAATAGAATGTATTAAATTATTTTACCATCTCTAAAAGAAAAGTTATTAAATTTAGGAATGAAAAAAATTAAATGTGACGTATAACTTAAGTAAATACTGGGAGGGAAAACGTGGATACGTGGTGATAAAATTAATATTTGATAATAATTTCAGTAAATTTGCTGGGTTTTTTATCATTATGTTTTCAAAATTGATAATGACTGTATTTTCCATAACATTCATATAATTTGCATAAAAACTTATACAACTATTTATCCTTTAATTAGATATAATAAACAATAAACAAAAATCATTTAAACAAGTATTTAAAAAATCTATATAAGTAAACAGTGTTTAAAAATTTTGAAATTCACTAGTACGTCGGTCGATTAAAATACGCTAGCCCTGACTGTGTTTGTAACCTGAAGTCCTGGATGATACTAGATATTTATATCACGCAGGTAGCAATAGTGGTGGTAGCCGGCCATCGGGCGGATTGTGTGCTCGTTTGCCATCCTTATTATATAGTAAAATGTACCTACCTCATTGAATTAATTTGCCAATACCTTCAAAGTTCAGATAATATCGAATGTGGCCGCAGGAAATTAATTAATCATTATTAAAACACAATTATCTTTTCCAGGTGTGGTCGCCGTGCTTTTCTGCGGTATTTGCCAGGCGCATTATACTTACAACAACCTGTCGTCCGACTCTCGCAATCGTACCAAGCAATTGTTCGAATTGCTCAACTTTCTTGCCGAAAACTTCATTTTTACTTATATCGGGGTGTCTATGTTCACCTTCCCGAAGCATCACTTCGATCCGTGGTTCATCATAGCTGGATTCGTATCCTTTTTACAATTATATTAGCTAGTCTAAACCTTAGCTTAGATTGATAATAATGGCTTCTCGTCATTTTCAAACATAATGTCTTATGCCAAAACTTTAACTGCACAAGATAATTGTAGTCCTATTGATTAAGTTTTACTTATTCAATGTCCTGGAATGGAGAGCGCATTTGGATTAGAGTAGTGTGTGATCGATGATAGTGAAAGTGGTCCCGAGATCACTGAGCGAAACACTCTACAGGTTTATGTGGCGTGGGCTAATTCGCGCGCTTTGAAAAAAACTTATATACACATATAGACTCCCGCTGGCTGATGTTTGAATCTTACTTATCTTATATTGTTGAAACCCCGTAAAGTCATAAAACTTTTAAGATATTTTTGTGTTTTTGTCATAAAAATACATGCTTCTATTAGCTTGGTACCTGTGAATATGTATGAATGTAATGGACTTTTCAAATAATGATTTCTTAAATTTACGCGAACACTACACATTGAATAAAACTATTATTTACGGATTTTATCGCGTTTAATTACTTTAATTTATTTTTATTATTATCCCGACGTTTCGGGTGCTTTACAGCACCCATGGTCACGGGGGGGGGGGACTGAGATGTTTGACGTCCAAATGTCATAGTCAGTCCGGCTACCTTCAGTTTTTTTTTTTAATATTAATTTTTTTTTGGTCTGATTTACGCAAAACGAGCTTATAGTATCATGAAGTCTTGCAGTGGTATGCTTGGGTTTTGGTTTAATTTTGTTAATTAAAGGATCCCAAGCAGATGGTAGCACCCAACCATCTTCTCTATTGAAATTTGGATCTCTCCCACCATTACATTAGATTTGATAAACCACAAATTCTCGCAAAAGAACACCGATTCCTACCAAGGATGATACGCGAGGCTATTGAAATTAAAAAATATCCAAATTTCAAAAATGTTGACAGACTGAGTAAATTTACACATTTTAGACTTTTGATTTACATATTTATTTGTAAATAGGGTGCAATTTGGCCTTTTTTTAAATAATTTGCATGCGAAATTTGGAAACCATTATAACGTCAAAACACATCTCGTGTTGATATTTATACGTGTGAATTGACGTGTTAGTGACATTTTAGTGGCTACACGGGCTCCGCCCACTCCCCGTTCTATTATGTATGCATTATAGTATTCTATGGTTCCTACTAGTAGATGATCCTAAAGCTCATGATCAATACCTGTAGTTTTAGTTTTGTTAAACTTGGTGCCGCTCTCTCACAGTGGCCAATCATTATTAAAGTAAGTGTTTTGTTGTGTCAAACAATGACTAAAAAGCAGCTGTTTTTATCCTTAAGCAAGAATCAAGACATTTAAATATTAAACCCCAGAGGATTCAAATGAATTGCTTCGTAATCAGTTGTTACAACAAATAAGTGATATCAAGTCTAAAACCGAGTTCCTAAAACATCCGCGCGGACAGCATTTAGACAACTCGCAAACACCATTGCAGGTGATCTAACGATTGATTGCGAACCAAATCATCATCATAGAACAGAATATACATGTTAGTAGCTGGCTATACAGACTTTGTTCTACCCTTTCCGACGAATCTGTCCTAAAAAAAAATCTTTAAATTCGCAATAAAAATATAGAGGGTCAATTATTGGGAAAAAATAAACTATCCTATCTCTCAAGTTGGAGCAAGCACTACACATTTACAAAATTTCATTCAAATCGTTTGAGTAGTTTCGGAGTTTATCGCGGACAAACAACGTGACACGTAATTTTTATACATAAAGCCTAGCTTGCCAGGCAGACGTTGTTCTGCCATTTTCGACTACCCTTTGTCATGTCCTATTAAAATCCTCAAATTCGCAAAAAAAAATTGTGGGTCACTCACGGGCAAAAAAAACCATCCTACCTCTCAAGTTAGATCAAACTGATCACGGTGTGCAAATTTGATTAAAATCGGTTTAGTACTGTAGTTTAGGAGTCCATCGCGGACAAACAACTTGACACGTAATTTATATATATTAAGATATTCTTTTTTTGGAAAGGGAACAGAAAATCAGGTGTTTTTTTTTATTAATCCTTGTACTGTCTGCCTTAATATATAGCATGCAAATTTAGCTTACGCGGTGGTTAAAACAACATAGTTAATTATTAAATTTCTTTTTTATAATAATACTTTCTTGTTAAATGTTTTGAAAATATATATTTCAAAAATATTCCTTAAAACGGTTTATAACAGATTACATCAACTCTAGGTCGCGCTGTTAATATTTACCCGTTGTCGTTCCTGCTGAACCTGGGACGGAAACCACCGATACCAATGAACTTCCAACATATGTTGTTCTTTTCAGGTAAAACTGTTACATGGTATCTTATTATATTGATCAACTTAAGGGACAGGGACACTTATTGTCTGTGATTGTACGTTATAACGTAATCATATTGTAGCTAGCAAGTGTCTTTTGAAACTTATTTATAGCGTTTAAAACTTTACAAATTCTAAATTACAGATTCAAAGTTCAAATAATTTTTATTCAAAATTGGCCTTTGCAAAGCACTTTTTGAAAGTAAAAAAAAACATATAGTATTGAAATTTATTATATGCTGCACTGCTGTTATTTGAGTCTCGAATAAAAACTATACTCATTCATTTTTATAACTGTGATATTATGTTTATAAGAATTTAAACACAATCTGTACTGATATTATCTAATATGGTTGCGTCTCTCCCCTTTAATCTGTGATTTTTTAATTTTTCTCTACCACGTACACATTTTACGTACAGTTTTAATGATTTCTGACAATTCTTTATTGTGTGCTTATTGAACAATGTACATAATTTAAAACTATATCCTAAATGTGTTTATTTTCGCTCAAAACATTCAAAATATTGCTGAGATGTTACAATGTGATTTTGTTATCTTCAGGTCTCCGAGGAGCAATGTCTTTCGCTCTAGCGATACGTAATACGGTATCGGAAGCCAGACAGGCTATGTTGACTACGACTTCTCTCATCGTCATAGCCACTGTAGTGTTACAAGGTGGCGCGGCTACGCACGCACTTGATTATTTACGGATACCTACAGGGTAAATATAACTTATAAATAATTCCTATGTATGTCTCTCTCTCTCTCTCTCACACATTCAAATATTGTTCCCCCGTAATCACACTGAACGTGAATCCCTTCCATAAAGGAGAATTTGTCATAATCAACGCAATTTTCTGGCGTATTATCGATCATTACCAATTATCTCGTACCTATTCCGATACCCCCCGGTGACCGTTTGGGTATTCTGGTATAAGTAAAAAATATTACTACTGTCACCTAGTGAAGACCACGATTTTCCAGACATGTGTAACTTTTCTACGATATGTGAAGCATTAATTTATTCTCATAGATCGCCATCACTGGAATGTATATAAACTGTTTAATAAGTATTTAAGTTCAATGGCATGAAACGAGGTTAAAACAGTGTATGTTAAAATTTACTTAAAATCTGGAAGCTGGCGTAGCGATTATGACAAATCCTTCCTACAACGGAAGAAGCTATGTCCTGGACTGATGAAGAAGGATATATTTGTAGCAGTAACTGTTGTAGGTCTATTTCTAATTTTGCCGTAGTTGCCACACTTTGCAGGCAATGCTGCAAAGAAAATACTGTTGTCCATCACTTGTTTCAATTTCCCTCAGTCGCCTACACGGATTCTTCTCGTATTTAAGTGATTACTCCTTAAAAAATAACTTCTCCTTACTGTATTTAACTAATTTAATCTTTAAACAAAAATTTAATGAGATCATAGATAATTCGTAATACTTTGTAACTTGTGTTCACATGTCAACCTTCATGACAAAAGGTAGGGCAATAGCTAAGTTTGTAAGGCCTCCAAATTTCGAATAAATTCCGCGTACAGGCGTTTGCCCGTTAACAATTTGTGTATTTAAACGCCTTCACTATACAGAAGAAATAATACTAGGTAAGATTGAAACAGCTCATAAAAGAGCAATATCGCCCCATAAACAATAAACTGTTGGTGCGTGAGGCATAGTGGTGGGTATATATTTAAAATCTTTAAGGTCGCCACTTAGGACACTATAGTAAAAGAGTGTGTGTCATAGGCACTAAACGTACGCTCTACAGAACTCTCTGCACTAAATCACCGTAAGCGCTAAAAAGCAGGTGGATTGGTCCTCTGAATACCACATAAAAGCGAGGCCACACGAAGCAATGGCGGTGCGTTGCGACACCTGAGCGTTGACGTATCGTTCGGCATATAAATCTCAATAACATGTCATGCGGTGCGTTCCAACCTTAGAGTAATTACATAGATACGTGTGCATAGAGGGAACTTACTATTCTACCATAATTGAGTCAATATACTTGTCTCGTTTTTTCTACTTTAATTTTCAAATAAGGAAAAAAGACAAGTCTTTTGAAAAATGTGGCGTGTAATTTATGCGTGTAAATAGAAATATCAAATGGTCATCTATGGACTTTTTATACTATGCGAAATATGAGAGTAAATACACTCGTATCTTCTGATTTACTAGAAAAATGACACCCCTATTGTAATAGTATTATATGTGACGTTACTTTTATAGTGATTTCGTTCGCAATGTTAGCGACAATTACAAAATAAACTACGAAAAAAATGACAATAACAATGACATCTTATCTAACGATCGGTAAATGGTTTTCTAAAGCAAGTGATGACAATTGTTATTGCATATATTCGTTTCACAAACTTTAAAAACTAATAGTTAGGGAAGTATGATAAGTCAATAAGTCTTGACAGACACACGGTACATAAGCGAGTTGGATCCCATCTGTAATGTCAATTTTATATGCTGACCAATGCTCTACCACGGCTTCGCACGACTGGTTACCGGGTCCAATTGTGAGTGTGAGTGTTCAGCCATTCTCAAGTGATGATCTTTCATACATGCGGCAACTGATTTTTATTTATATAGATTTACCACTTGCTTAGCGGAAAATAAAAGCATCGACTATATTCAACAAATGCTTTATACCTGCTTGGATGAAAAATTTTCAAAGTTATGGAGTTAAGGCAGGATCTTGATAACGTCGTGACGCTGTTATTGTATAATCGTAGCAGTGACTTCTATGAAACAGAACCAATGTCGATTAAACAAACACATGTATTCACATACACATGGATTCATTTATATTAATTATAATAACCCTTTTTATACAGTTTTTGTTAAATTAAATATTTAAAATTGGTAATAAAGTTGTATATTTTCTGGGACTTTGTTGTAACAGCGTATACCCCAATGCGAATACCAACATCGAATGCCCCAAGAATGAATTACTGACCCTGTCGAGTCGAGGAACTGGTAGCACTAGCTTGTGTTTATTCCTAGTGTTTACAGAGTGTATATCACTTTTTTTACTAAAACTGCCTTTGACGAGCTGACCCATTCGTGTTACAATTATGAATATAGCTGCAGCAGGGCTCTACCACGTATTTTTATTTATATAACGATAGTACCTACGAAATTAGGCATTATTGGACGACGATTTTGTTGCAAGATGTCAGATGAAACTTCCATAAACTTTCATTGATATAAATAAATATTACGTACCGGATTAATAAAAATCCTTAATTTTACTAAGTCACAGAGCCGTTGCCGTTATTCCATTCAATGGCACATCAATGGAAGTGTCTATGGAATAGAAAAACGGCAACAATTTCTAAAAGAAAGAAGGTGAGAGTAACATAGCCATCTTATTTTTTACCATGTTAAACGACACATGCTTAAAGAGTTCAGCTTTAAGAGTTTTGTTCTTATTTTAGAACTCTCTATATTACTCTGAGGTTCCGATATGTATATATAGCTTTAATGTAACTTGTACCTAACTTTGATGCTAATTCTTGTCTCCAATTTGAATATTTTACATCTAGCATATTACAAGATAGAATAACTACAATCTGTCGCAAAATATAACATTTCGTGGGCATTTATGCCATCCCTTATACCGTCCTCATAATATTTGTAGGATTTTATGTCCATAGAACGTAACATATAATGACAATCAAATCCAATTCAATTCAATTTCCAGACAAGGACAAAATGACGAAAGTGAAGCTCTACCATACCGTGATGTGAGAAGTGTAAGTACTTTGATAACAAATTAATTTATATTAGAGTAAAAGTTCATAAGTCGTTCAAAATACATATTTGATCTCCATCATCGATTTAACTACCTAGTGTTAATGTAGCTTCTGAGATATTAAATTTCTTCACAAATTGTTTGTGTAAAAACACATCTGTACTTATTTCACCGTTCACTATTATCATACTTAGTGAATGGGTTCAATGTGCAAAATATATACAGAATGTCGTGGCTTGGCCTTAGCTTAGCTTATAAGTGAAAATTCGGTCATGAATCATCTAATAATTTATTTGAAAATAATAAATTTTGTTCTTGTCAATACAAAAAGTTCAACAATATAAATATAATGATTCATATTATTTACGCGAGTACTATACTGAGTAAAAGATATATAAAGAAGGAATATCGAAACTTCGCTTAGCGAAAATTTGTTTTAGAATCATGTGTTAAAAACTTCAAGATAAGTACTGTAAACTCGTTCTGCGTAGATTGGACCGAAAATTAATTTAACCTGGTGACCATTAATGGGAATTAAAATAAGTTAAAATTAACCACGATAAGTTCCGTTAAATTAGTTTTATAGCGTGCGTAGTATTCACAAATTTACAAAACCATTATATTATGTTAAATTAGTAATAAAAATGCATGTGTCTAAATTACTGAAATTATGTGATTGTTTTTTGTGAAAATAAAATATGCTGTAAGAGTTAATTTATTGCATGGAGCCCGACGCCATCCTGTATATTTATTTACAAAACAAATTTAATTGTTGCTTTAGTAGTACATACCAATGTATATAGTTATTTAGTATAGCTATTTAGTATATATAATAATAATACTAAATCGTAAAAAATAAATCGTAAAACTTTGAACTTTTAAGTAGAAGCATCAATGGCAGCATACTTACATATCGACTTTTCACCTCAATCATTTACTATTTATTTTTCTTTGAATTGTGAAATGAGTTTTTCTAAATTTTATGTATGTATATGTTTTTATTCTCGCCATATTTCAGTGGGATGTAAGCTAATAGCATTCGTATTATAATTATGCACTTTAAATGCAATCAGCTGAAATACATAATATTGTATTAAAAATAATTCTTCAACTTCAAGATCACCAAACTAGCAAAAGTAAATAGGACTGGAATAAATAACAACGATGCTCACATGACATGAAAATCACGCGAGCAAGTTGTAATAAATATGTTTTACCAGCTGGCCCGGTAGGCGTTGTTCTGCTCTTTCTAGTTGGTGGCACGGTGGGTTTCATTTTCACTTATATAGCTAAATTATCTTTTGGACAAATAGAAGTATCAGCAGCCATAATGACAATACACTTTTAAAAAAAGAACAACAACCCTTTTTACTCTTCTGTAAGCGAATAAAAATGCCTGTATGTTATACACGGTCATTTACTACCTATATATAAAATGTCATGGAAATCGGTCCTACAGTTTTTCCGTGAATCGCGAACACACATTTTTTCCCGTAGATTTATTATATGTATAGATTGGCCAGGTTACACCAACCTGGTATTCGTTTTCATTTTGTATTTAAAATAAAAACACTTAAAATTTTAATAATAAAAGATAATGCATTCGATCTTTTTTATTAATTTAATTCATTCAATGCCTATAAAAATAATCTATTTATAGAATATAGTCAACAAGTTCACTAACTTAAAAGTTCTAAGTGCAAGGACTATTTTATAAAAGCTTGTCGGAAATTCCATATTTTTATGAATGTAAGTCATTAAGTCAATGATTATACATCCATCAAGGCCCAAAAGCCTAGCATGCTCTATTAAATTGTGCAAATATATGTACCACGGGCGGAAGTGTAAAATAAATAAAATTATGAACTAATACCGAACACACCACTTACATATTTTTGTAGTTATAGTTTTATTTAACCATTCCATGAAATTCATAAGTAATATTATCATATTGAATTTTCTGTTAAACGATATCCATAATTTGTTATGCTCAGACCAGCTCTTATAAAACGTTCTATTATTTAATACTTTCTACATTATACAATTCCGTATTCTTGCTTCTAAGTAGTGGCAAAGAATTCGTAGTGCTAACATTTTATTGTTCTCTTTTGCTTTACTTATGATGTTGTTTGCTTGTGCCTTTAAATTTATAGTTACTTTTAAGACTTATAGTTTTGTACCGGAAGCTTTGCAACTATTTATTTATATTTAAATAAAAATTGCACGGTGTGGGACTGTCATAAGTTTTGTTAGAGCTATACAATGTCAGCAAAATTTTTATTATACGATTTTTGTTCCTACACTGTACTAATGTGTTTACTTTGTCTGATACATGTAAAATTAATGCTGTAATTAGTAACGACAGCTTAAATCTTAAACATTCAGTTAATTTAGTATTTACTTAAACTAAGACTCTTCAAGATGAGACCAAATAGGCCTTTTTTTAATTAACATGTTTACTTACTGGGATCGTATCATAATCAACAGCCGCGTAGCTTAGTTTAAAAGTTTACAAATCCTTAAAAGTAAATGCTAAGCTTTTTAAACGGTATTTGCATATTTTACGAAATCGTATTCTAAGTACGCCTATGTCCATAGAATACATAGAATGGCTGTCAAGTTTATTTTGTACGAGGCTTGGCGTCGCCAAACCTGATTCGCTATATTGACAGACTGAGTATATTTACACATTTTAGACTTTTGATTTTTGAAATTAATGTTCAAGATCACCATTAAAAAATCGTTTAAATTTGAATTCATATTTTTTGTAAATAGGGTGCAATTTGGCATTTTCTAAATAATTAGCATGCGAAATTTGGAAACGATTGTAACGTGAAAACACATCTCGTGTTGACATTTATACGTGTGAGTTGACGTGTTAGTAACATTTTAGTGGCTAAAAGGGGTCCGCCCACTCCCCCGTTCTATTATGTATGTATTATTTAGTAGTATTATTATAGTATTCTATGCCTATGACTTTTAAAGTAGTTTCAAATTCTAATATCGTCAAACATTAGGAGCAATATACAAACATCGAAAGCCCTAGCCTGCCAATCTACTTTATAAACTCGCAACCTGTTGAGATAAATCGTACGTAATTGGCAGTACGGTGCATGTAATTAATAAGTCATTATTGTGGCAGCTGTACCAGGCCACGGACACTGGCGGACCGGTATGTACTTGTCGATTCACCACTAAACACAGAGGGCTTAATCATCTTAACATTAAAAAAAGTTACGTTTAAAACCTGTCTGAATGTTTACTTAAATATACCTTGATTCAAACAGATTTTAATAGTAACTTTCACGTTAAAATGGTGTATTTTGACACTCACAACTAACTTCACAAATATGTTTTAAGCGCAAAGAAATAATTCTTAAAAAAAATTAACCGTGAAATATTACTTTTCCAAAGTATATGCAGCAAAAGCCGATTATATAACAATCGAGTCAGTTTCTATGATTGTCCTCGTGTTATAAATATAAAGAGGGTTTTTCTAACATTATAGAGCTAATTCTAAATGACAATGACAGTATACAATGTACGTACACATGTGCCCTGTGTCATTACCTCAGTTTGTTTTCCAGGCAAAATGAAAATTAATTTTCTTCCATTGTCGAAAATATATCAACATAAATACTTTAATTACAATGTGTTTGTTGTCAGCCGGCAGACATAGCTTTTGGCCTCAGAAATTTGGACTCTACGCAACCGGCCAGTTGCGACAGGGCAACAGTAAGATGATAACACATTGCATGCTGGTTTTGGAAATAATTTTACTATCTTAACGTACTTACTCATATGCATTCTAACATAATCGAAATGCTACGGACTGGCTTACCAAGCTTTTTTTAACGTTTCTTTTTAAACATAAATTTCTATCTGGAAAAATGCTTCAATGAGACATTAAAGAATCTTATTCTTGTACATACGATCGTATTTTGTATAAAATTTACAAGTACATAGATTTCTTTTGTTTCATTGTAATGACCTTTATCACTAATGCTTGCATGTTATTTTATTTTTATTTTGATTTGAAAATCTAGAATGGCAGCATGGTAGTTAAGTGGGGCAAAGGAGACAATGGAGTGATAATGCCTTGGCAACTTAACGTAATGGCAGTATGTAACTTGTTCTTTCTTTTACAAGTCATTCAAGTAATTTAGTTGCCAGAGTTAACGATATACAACCAACAACATTGTAAATACGGTACAAATTGCACAAAATACATCGTAATTTGCCAATAAAAATTAGCATTATAAATATATATTATTCCCAAAATTATGCTGCTATCCATTAACGTAAAAATGTTTTACGGTGGTATTTTGTGAGGGCGTGCTCCTTGATGATGATAATTTATCATACCGAATGTCATGCATTTTGATAGATTAAATAAGAAAGTGTTGTTGATTGTAAATCGTTGATTGTGAAGGAATCTAAGTATATCTCATTTTCTTTGAATTAATCCGTTAAAAATTTGTAATTAAACTTCGCTACGTGATTGTCACTTTTAGAATTGAAGCACAATTTCTATCGTTTTCATTTATACCTAACAAAGGATGACATATAACTTTTACTAAATTTGTCTTTAGATTTTTCTACTAAATATTAAACGATATTATAATTTCAATTTAATAATTTTAACATATAATGTAGCATTCAATCATCACAAACTGCATTGAATTTATACACGGAAATGTATCATATTGTTCAGGAAACACCGCGAGGCAGCGGCGATGGCGGAGGAGAAAAGGCTCGATTGGCGCGTCTATGGGGCGCAGTAGACTCTAAACTGTTGAAACCACTGTTAACTCACGCGCGACCGCCTCTAACGGAAACACTGCCAGCTTTCCTTAGACCAGTTGCTCGAGTCTTGACTACGACGCGACAATATACACAAGGAGTAAGTTTTTATAAATATTATACCCAAAAACTGGATGTAATTTAGTGATACGTCAGACCTCTGCTTCTCCATCCATAACTACGGAAGTTCTGCTCGCTTTTTGACATCCGTTTCTGCTTTTGTTACCGCAACTTTTATTACGGAAAGAAGTTTTGCCTACTTTCCATACAATGGCTGCGTTTTGCTGAAAAAAGCGCTAACAAGCGCTTGTAATCAAAATGGCGAAACTAAACAGTTTTCGGCCAGGATACGTTTGCTAACTTCAGAAGCGCTGACATAATCCGCCATTTTGCTTATTTAATTAATTTGTTTGTTTTGAAGTAGAGTTTATAAGTTGTTTTGTGCAATATTAGTTTTAAGTAATATAATGACATGAATAAACATATATACATGTTATTAAAAATTCATGATTGGTATGTTTTTAATATGACCACTTTACAAACATATATTTAAATTAGGTTAGGTTCCCCGGTTAAAACTAACTTCGTGTCCTAGAGAAAAATAGCTACTTACGATTTGACAGCGCTTACCCCTTACGATCGCCATTTTGCTTACAAGCGCTTGCTAGCTTTTTTTTCTGCCAAACGTAGCTAATGATTGACCTGTCACTTTATTCTATAGGAAAAATGCTATTAAGTAAATAAGTTTTTCAAGTTATAACAGCTGTCAAATAAGGTGTGACAGCCGTCACAACCTAATAAACCTAACTATACCATAATTATAATCAATTTTTTTTTTAAAAAAACGTTACCCCTACACTAAGATTTTCTCTTGTATTGTGGGGGCAGTTTACAAACATAAATTGCACAAGGACGAACATCCAGACCCGGAACAACTACTTGTAGGCCATACAAACACTTGTTCCGTGCGGGATTCGAACCCGCGACCCCCAGCGCAGCCACTCATTGCTAACCCACTGCGCCACGGAGTCGTCAATTGTTTCTTAATATCTCAGAGAGTTACAAATACTCAGAAATAAATCCCTCTTCAGTGTAATATCATCATCAAAAATTCAATTGGTTATTTTGAACATTCATAAACCACGTCAAGTTTTTCATAATCTGTAAAATGGAATGTGTAAAACAAGTTTTTTTTAGAATTTGGCGTGGCTTCTTGGCTTTTGAGAACTTTTGTAAAACGCGTACCGTCTCCAAAAGTCTATTGAGAATGATAAACATAGTAACATAACTTTTTTTCCTGGTTTTATTGGAGAATTCAATTATGCGATACGAAATAAACAAAAAAAGGCAATGTTGTAAGATATTTTAGATCACTAGACGCGTTAGAAAATTTTCAGATCAGGACTGGACATGATTCCTTGATCGAAACGTTGATGACGGCATACCTTTCCCTAAGGGTGCCGACCTCAAATTGAGAATGAATACCAATCTATGTCATCATCAATGATTGACAAGAGTGACAATCTCTTTTATAGATGTAATCCACCTTCAGGAGTATGTGGTGGAGATGAAATGTACACGAGTATCGTAATTAATTAAATAAGTTAGTTCGCCAATATTTAACAGTTCCACCAACCACCAGTCGCCAGTGAGCAATTATTTAGTGAAGCTATTCTAATACATAAAGAACATCGAAACAGATTTCTAGGTCATAAAATATAACTTACCGCTACTTAATTTTAAATGTTAATTTATTAAAAAAATATATTTTACAAATTGTACTTTTTACATAGTTTACACTTCCGCTTCTGCATCCGTTTCCCTTTCTATTTCTGCTAAAATTTACTTTTGACTACAGTTTCTGTTTCTGCTTCATGCCACATCCGTTGCATCAGCAATATAATTAAACTAGATGGTAGGACATTGGCGTGTATCAGTCATTCATTTCTCGTGTCTGAATCATTCTAGTACATTTCGTCACGCGTACCGCTACATTTGAATCGATCATTCAAATGGATCATTTCGGGTTCCCCTACACTAAAAACAATTCATTCAGATCATTCGGGATCCGGTCGTTGAATGAGTGGAAACACTCATTCACAATTCACACCAATCACGAATTAAAAAGGTTCCGTCAATTGTTTGTGATTGGTTGTACCGGAACATTCAAAAACAGATTAATGAACCATCAATACTTTTAAGTGTACTAGCTCAAACGAACGAATCATTCATGATTGACACATGTCTAGTAGGACACCTTTTCTGCCTAGGAATCCGTCAGGATAGCTACTAAAGCGCCATAGCATACCTAGTTCTGTCGCAATAAAAAGCAGTGCTTACACTGCTGTGTTACGGTCTGAACGGTATAAAGAGCCTGTATAATTACTGGCTCTAAGGCAATCCAACTAAATCCTTTACGTTATCTGTTGCCAACTTTATATGAATTTGGCTGCTCTCCACTACCGGTCACTTTGTTGTACATTACGTCTTATGTTTAATGAGAAGTAGTAGCTCTTATAAAAAAGCTATACAGAATAGGCAATGTACTACAAAGTGACTATCATTTAATCGTCAAAAAGTAAGCAATAGGCCTTCTGATGTTAATTATGGCTATTTATTGGTACGTTGAAACCTGTTATACATTAAATGCAGTTAATTTCGAATTTCTCGTAGCCTGCAGTTTTGCCGACTCTCTCTCAATACCTTTCAAACGTTGACATAACAATGGCTACAATGTTGCTCGAGGGATTAGTATGGAAATTATAGCCACTTTAATAACGTCTTGAAATTATTTATTTTTTGTGGCTGATAAATTACGACCAGTTATTATCAATTGACGATCAGCGTGGCTGCAATTGTTTCTGCTCGTTACATATTGCTGTGATGGTGACTCAATTCAGAACTTGGTCTGTGTCTACTTTATTTTTTGTATAACAGCTATAGTTATAAGTATCTTATTTATGTAACTAATAAATAGTAAATTAAATATTACTCTAATAAGAGTAAGTGTAGTGGTAGTTTAAGAATATCTACTAGTCAATATCTTCAAATGGATATAGCATGAGGCGATAGTGTTAAAAAACCAGCAGATGGCGGCCGTGTCTTCGTAATAACAACTGGAAAATAAAAAATCAAGGCAATTATCCCCTTTCTGAGGCAGTCTGTGGTGAAATCTATGTTCAGCTGTGAATTTTGATAGGGGAATATAAATAAAAACGTCAATACACTATTTACACTATCTTCTAGCAACAGTACAGGTCGGTTAAAAATCGGTACCTACGTTTAACAATACTACTGAGCCGCAGCAGTGGAGCACGGCGACAACTTATCGCCAACAAGTGAAATATATCCTCACAGTCATAAAGTTTTTTCAGAATTATAAGAATCATTTGTAGGTATCGAACTGAACTGTGTGTAGATAACTAAATCAAAGCCTAACAGTTTAAGAATAAGGTTCAATTCCACTTGAAGTTTTTATCACGCCACGTTACAGTACAGGTCGGTTAAAAATCGGTACCTACGTTTAACAATACTACTGAGCCGCAGCAGTGGAGCACGGCGACAACTTGTCGCCAACAAGTGAAATATATCCTCACAGTCATAAAGTTTTTTCAGCATTATTAGAATCATTTGTAGGTATCGAACTGAACTGTGTGTAGATAACTAAATCAAAGCCTAACAGTTTAAGAATAAGGTTCAATTCCACTTGAAGTTTTTATCACGCCACGTTACAGTACAGGTCGGTTAAAAATCGGTACCTACGTTTAACAATACTACTGAGCCGCAGCAGTGGAGCACGGCGACAACTTGTCGCCAACAAGTGAAATATATCCTCACAGTCATAAAGTTTTTTCAGCATTATTAGAATCATTTGTAGGTATCGAACTGAACTGTGTGTAGATAACTAAATCAAAGCCTAACAGTTTAAGAATAAGGTTCAATTCCACTTGAAGTTTTTATCACGCCACGTTATTTTCCTCAATGTTTTATAAAAACTTCAAATAAGTCAAGTCTAATGCCATAAGGAATAAGATTCAATTTCACTCTAACAAATTCGCCCTTTGCTGCATATTTAAGTTTTATCCCTTTAAAATCACACTCGCGCAGTATGTAGCAGGTGTTTTCGGCGAATATAACTGTTGTACGTTGTTGGTGTAATCACTTGATAAATAATCAATGATGCATGCTGATTAACCATTACTGGTGACTATAATATGCCAGAATAATAAAAGAAAATATTATTTGCAGGAAAACAATCTTCACAGGACCGATTCGGATTCTGATCTTTGTATTGACGAACCTCATCATGTACCTACAAGTATTGATCCCCAGGTATATTATACACCTCTGGCATCGTAGTCTGTTCATTTTTATTCTATAGGACTACTTCCACATCTATAATACGTCTTTTTCTCGGCTTGTAGCATTGTGTCTTTTTAAGAACTATTTTTTGTGTTTTTTATTTCGATAACTGCTTTTTTTTTGGATTCCGTCTTATTACAAAAAGTAGTTTATAGTTAGTTCCGTGTATATGTGATTAAAAATGTTAAGTGTGGAATTTAGCAGCTAATCTCGAATTTCGCGAAGATGGAACTTAGAAACCCTTTTTTAATCTCAAATCTAAAAAGAAAGTACGTTTGTAATAAGACCAATCATAATATTTATTTCTTACCAATTTTTGTACTAGAGTTCGGCAACCGTTTGACGTACATGAGCATATAGATATGAACACTGGAGATATATTGTCAGCTTTATTATTTGCTATTATATCATTTTAATTATTTAAATCTTTGCTAGTACTTGATTAGTAAGCTGAAGTGGAAATGGGCCGGTCATATAGCTCGAAGAACCGACAATCGTTGGGGAAAAAAGGTTCTCGAGTGGCAGCCTCGTACCGGTAGGCGAAGTGTAGGGCGATCCCCCACTAGAGGGAGTGACGACCTGGTAAGACATGCAGGAAGTCGATGGCTGCAAGTGGCTCAGGACCGTGCTTTGTGGCATACCTTGGGTAAGGCCTATGTTCAGCAGTGGACTTGTGAAGGGCTTTAATGATGATGATGATGAAGTACTTGCTGATCCATAAGATTAGATCTGATCAGTATGCTGAAGTGGGCCGGCCATATAGCTTAAAAACCGACAACTAATGTGAATGGGAAATAAAGGTTTTCGAGTAGCAGCCTCGTACCAATAAGCGATAAGCTAAACGTAGGGTAGCCCTCCACTAGGTGCAGTGACGACCAGGTAGGACATGCAGAAACTCGATGGGAGCAAGTTTATTAATATATGATAAAAGTGACAAGCGAGCACACAGTCCACCTGATGGTAAGTAGTTGCTGCGGCCCATAGACATCTACATCTATCCTCGATTACGGATCAGAATGCAGATGTGTTGTTACCCGTAAGGACTAAGATGGAATGCCTCGTTTCCAGTTAAAAGGGTCTTCGGTTCTCTCTACACTCACCATACGAAACCCAGTAGCGTTAAACTGCTATTTTACGCTGGTATTTGGTGAATAAAAGTGTTTCAAGACCTTGAATTGTGCTGTAATGATGATGCAGAGATTGGTTTTCAATGCGAGGATAACTGAGAAAATCTGAAAGTGAAATTTTAAAGCATACTACTTGTCCTTTTTAATTTATCTTTCGTCACCGATTATGATAAACGCCTAGCGATGGCATAAGAAGCCATGTTTTTTTTTTTTTTTGTAATACTAAAATAGAAAATTATTCTTTAAACAAATTTTCATACCGTGAACTAACCGTGAGCAAAAGATCATTAAATTTCATTTATAATTTACCTACATTATTCGTATAAGATAAAGATTTAAAAAAAAATTAAACCGGTGTCTTACGGGACGCGGGTTGCCGACCTCTAATCCAAATCAAACATATACAGGGTGTTAGTGTAAACACCGTTGTCCTTGAAATCAGTGGTTTGGTTTCACTTATAGAAAGTAATTTCAATGAAAAATAACAACATTTTTTTTAGTCAAATCTCAATTTTTTCTTACAATTATTTCACCCTAGGCAAGTAGGGATATACCTACAGAATTCACAACAAAAAACTCAACATATCGTAGGTAGCGGCAGCGATTCGCGGTCAAGGCCAATGGCAGTGTGTCAGTCACCTTCGCTGCGTCGGTACGGAATGTACGTGTTAATTTGATTTAAAATCGCGCCGCGCAGTGCCGACATTCTACGTCGCTTTAGGTTGTAGTTTTGGTGCGAGTGTATTTAATTTGTAATTATGTCCTACATAAACGTGCAGTGGAAATGTGCCTCTTCGTTCACTGAGAAACCTCTACTACCAACATGACGGTGCCTCTGCACATTTTCAGCTGCAAATCAGGGCTATGCTGGTTGAGGAGTTTCCTGGGCGATGAACCGACCTTACCCCGCTGGACTTTTATCTTTGGGGAGAAGTGAAGCGCCGAATGTATGCAACTAAGTTCCGTAATACGTGGTCCGAACTCAAAAGGCGAATTCTTAGTGTATTTAGAGAAATGACACTGTTGTGCTTCTAGCTTTTACGATTAATGTAAAAGCTGATCAAAATGGAATTCATTTACGAGGATTTTATTTAATAGGTAAGTGTAAATAACCAATCAATCAGGCTACACATCAAGCTGTACAAATCCTTTGTCTTGGCCTCGCTTTGTATGATCTTTCCGTACAATGAACGGTCAGCTTATACTTCAAATGCCCTTTGCGTTCCAGGGCCGCGGTACGGTATACGGTAAATACGCCAAAAATCCTACCTAATGATTTACTATTTACTATTATTAATGTTTAATTTTCTTTGTTGTTAAATCTAAATTACATTAATTTGGACTCGTCACGCAACACAAAGGGTAGGAATTTTTATCTGTCCTAAGCAAGTGTGAAAGTATGAAGGAAAAGTTTCATGATAGGTTATGTGTACCATGGTGTTTAATATTGAAATGTTGTGTAGGTAGCAAGGGCGGGCGGTGATCTTTACAGTGATTACGTCACTCGAGCGCATAGGGTATCCATGAATTTATGGACGGTGTCGGACAGAAACTTTTTTAATTTTATAAAAGAAAATAGCGTTTTTTTTTTTAAAAAAATCGGATAAATATTTTTATATTAAAGCCAACCACCTATGGTTTCAGTGACAACGGTGTTTACACTTACACACTGTATATACATATATTCATATCTGTATATTGTTTTGTTTTCAAATGTAGTTCTGTTTATTCAAAAATCATTTCTTTTCCTTTGGTTGCAGCTATCTTATAATATTCAAAATGGATATGGAAATGTCTAAAAAGCTTTGTAGCAATAGTGACCCTCGGCTGTGATATAAGGGCTAGATGTAAATAAATGTAATAGTGTTATAATAGGATTATTATTTTAAATTATTGCACGCAGCAATTATGGCCTGGACTTGTGGACACGCGGATCTCGGTAGAAGGTATCACTGGGAGTAACATATGAACGTAATGTAATGTTCATAATTGTTATCGATAAACTCTGTGTACCACAGACATGTCACACACTACTTAAACTAGAAAATCTAGAGAAAACTGGTGTATTTTTAAGACGAAAAAGACGTTCGTTCCTAAATATGTTTTGTTCCTCATATCCCTAATATGCCATCCATCAATATAATTTTAAAAAAAAGTTATTATGATTTCTTATATTTATATGAACCTTACACATTGAACAAAGCAAAATGTATCTATGATTTTCGAATGCCCATCTCTGAGGAGTTGGACATCAAAAAGCTGAATTTAAAAACGGAATGCATTAAACGTTATAAAATTCGTAAAAATACAATTTATTCAATGTGTAATTAAAAATAGATGCCTAACAAAACTTTTTAAGCAAAACATGCAAAATATTTAATTGTTATTTACTTGCTTTTCTGTAATAACAACCCTTATTTGTCATATATAAATTTTATTTTCCAACATTTTAGCTACGATGTTGTAGCTGTAGTTTGAATGTAATTAAAAATGTCATGCTCCTGCTAAACCCAGGCATATCACCTATGCAACCATCAATACTTGGCGTGTAACTAAATGTTTGTAACAAAATTTAATTTTCTTGTTGATTGTATATTATTTTGTATGAAATACATTTTATAAAGTCCTTTAAGTGACAATCTCATTTTTGTGAACTTTATTAAGAATAATAAGTGATTATTACTGCTACAAATGGTGTATGTACCAAGCAGCAATGGTATTCTATGATTTATTTTAATTTTAACCATACCTATTTAAATAGCACTTTTTAATATATAATACTGAAAAGTGATATTCAAATACTGTTCACTGAGGAGACGTTATTCTCTTTAATTGTATTTTCTAGTCTTTATCGTTCTTGTTTTCTTTTTTCGATTGGGGAAAATTAAACTTTGTATTTTTAACACCATAAAATGGGAATTATAAAATAATTAAATACTGATGAATGGTTGTAATATATCTATTATGCAATATTAAATATTTAAATTTTAAATTTATGTAAATATATTTTACGATTACACTATTTTGGGGTTTGTGTAGCTTAGTCACGTCCTTCTCTTTATAGTGTGTTATGTACGCATAATACATTAGTATATTTACAAAATTACAATACATTGTATGATACATTATTCTCACAAATGTGGCAAAACCATTAATTTAGCATAGAGTACATAGTTGTGCTTATTTTGTTATAAACATGCCTGTGTTTCTTAACATGACAATTTCCGATCTATGTTCCATCTCGTATTTTCGCCGAATTTTAAATAGGATAAAAATGTATTATTTAATAAAATTTTAATAATTCGTCGTTTTGTTTTTTATTGTCTTCCTGAGTGAGTGCTTCGCACCATGGAGCTGTAATAGGAATCGCAGCGCTACCCGCTACTAATGAGTTTAGGTGCTTATGAAAACAATCAGCTTTAGAATAATTTAATTTCTCTAAAATATTTATCTAGTCATCCACTTCCATTATGATTACAGAATTTCGTATACATTTCACACCTTAAGATGAAATCCGAGCTACAACAAATTTGAAGAATAGTTTTTTAACGATCTATTGCCGACACGCTTTGTCAACTACCGAGCTGTTTAAACAAGAGAGACAGCAGCTCAGACTGATTAAACCAATGACAAATGATTATAATTTTTCAACAAGAGAGGTGGTTATGTCTGTATGTTTTTCCTTTAGCGGCAGTAGCCCTGAGTAACTGGTAATTTCAGAAAGTTTCTAGTTTTTAAAATAATGTATAGAAACTATATATATATATATACAAAACTATCGAACTAATTATCATGTAATACAATTACGTGTAATTTAATTAAAGCAGCACAAATCGGTCGGCTCGACCGGAGAAGGACCTAACTCTCACAGAATACCAGCTTAAAATAGTAGCTGATGTGTTCCGTCCGGTGACCTTTTTTATTGGAAACGGGGTAATCCATCTGTCCTCAGGGGTGTCAACGCATCTGAATTTTGATTCTTAACCGACGATAGCTGTAGTATGGACCGCAGTACACCTTCGCCGCCACGTGGACTGTCTGCTCGTTTGTTACACTTATCCTATAAGAAAAGGACATATATAAATTTAATAACATTCAATCTTCTTAGATTCATGTTAAATTTACATATTTTAATTCGTAGGTATAGTGAAATTTCCGTGACATGCTGTTATTTTTTATGTTCTGTTTGCTGTAATATCATGAGTCATATATCTCAATTGACGACATTGTCATAAGAGCGTTAGACTTTTCTTCTGTGCTTCACTTGGTCTACGCCTCCCCCGACACCGACACATAAAATATTTTGAGTCGACCTCTGTATATTTTAGTTATTAGATCGGTTTCGAAATCGATACACAACGTGCGACACGGCTACATCTCTAAGAAAGTTTCAAAAAGGAAGGTCAGCTACGCCGTTGTCGTCCAGTCGTGACAGTGACGTCATAACGATGGAGAGTAGTGCTGTGGTTTACTGCTATTTTATTGTTATTATTTGTTTTTTATTCATGTTCAAAGTACATATATAAAAAGAGTGGAAGACAGCACAAGATTAAATAAAACATGCCAGATTATAAAGAGTCATTTATTGCATAAAAAACCAACAAGTTACACTATTTTTTTTCATAGGTATTTTTGTTACTTTTCGCTTTGGCGTAGGTACAAGACACGGTAATGCGTTTTTGGCGTGGCGCTCAAAAGGTTAATAAGACGTAAGTTCAAGTTCTATGTACTTAGTCTTCACGCGGTAGCAATAATATACATACCCTATATAGTATATTATCTACGAGTATATGCATGAACATGAAACTGTGCTATAGCGGTGCTCCACTAACCGACACAAACTTGGGAATCGTTAATGCTATATTCACCATCACATTCATTGGGAACTAATTCCGACATTGCATTAAAGGAGATTTATAAACTAATAAGACTCATGTAACTGATATTTTTAGCAAATTTTCCTCACGGTAGCGCTTAAAATATCTTTTATCTAATTCAAAACTCAAACTTTCACAAAGTCAAACTTTCACAACTGCTCGCTATAGGGCAGGATGACGATTGTTTCCGAAAAAGATCAATTCTTGACATTTCCTTAATGCATTATGAACTTTAGAGTAGATAGGTAGTACCACTTCTGGCTCACTGAGTCAGAAGTGGTACAACGTTCGTCTACTCAAGATCCTGAAAAAATAAAGGTTTTGGCATGCTCTGATCGTGAATCTGCGGTCTGTTTTTGCGTAGGATGCACGGTTCCGGAGATGTGCAGATCAATTAACTCTTATCTAATTGATATCCGGTGAGGGGCTCCACCGTCATTAGCGCCCCATTGTTCTTATCTATTTATCTATTGTTCATTGAATACCGTCATTGTCTATTTTTCCTCTGCGTATGCGTCGGCTTATCAGTGCTATTGTATTATACTTCTTTGTTCCCATCTACAACGCTAATGTGAATCATCAATAAAACACATTACCTAATTTTGTTACAATTTTTATTTACAAAATACAAAATCTTATTACTTATTGTCTATAAAATAGGAGCGAAACATCTCATCCACTAAAATATCATTGTACAATGTGTTCCCTGTAAATATACTCGTAAAACTATGCATTGAACATCCCTGAAACTTATATAGCAAATACATTAAGCAATATTCGCCACAAACTGAAGTCCACTCATTCTGAATCCTATCAACATTCCGGTTCCATCTTTTACAATTCCTTTTTAAAAACTCTAGATGATATCGTACAGGTGATCGTCCATATGAATCAAAATATTGACCGACGTCATTCGTATCGATATATAAAGCTACCCAATGTGACCCTGGTTTATCATCTGTATCCAAATTGCATATTATATACGTTGGTACGTGGGTATACATGGGCAGTCTATTAACAGGATAAACATTATTTTCTAGACTGGGGTGGATCTTTTTGAGATGTTGTTGTACATCTAGTGTATCCATGATATTACTGCTATTAGTAGATTATTACAGTACCAATCTACTCAATGACTAACATAGGAATGATCATTTATAGTGATTTCTAAATATTAAATTGCATTCTTTTGTGTTATACAAATCGTATTTGAGTCATCAATACACCGAACAAGACGCAACACGAAGGAACGTTAAGATAAGCAACAGAATGTGAGATAAGCTAGTTGATGCATAAAGTTACTCGTACTATAAGTTCCACTGCAGAAATTCTTTAGATTAGAATTATTACCTACTGGTACTATATAAAACCGAGCAATTGCAATCATGGAGTTAGTGTATGGTCGTTTGACCGCAGTGGATCTATAAATACTACATTTGTGTTACTTCAACGCATCAAAGGCCATGGATGTAAGTGTTTATTCTATTGACAAACTTACTTTTCTTTCTGTTATTTTCTTAAGTGTGTATGATTTAGTGTTAACAAATTATATTTAAATATTATGTGTGTATATGATTAAGCCGTGGTAGCTCAGATGGTTAGCGCAAGCTGTAAATTTCACAGTACGCGACCCGGGTTCAATCCCCGCCGCACCAATTAAATTGTAAATTGCAATTTTAAGTGCTGATTTACCACGTGCTCAGCGGTGAAGGAAAACATTGTGAGGAAACCTGCATGTCTGAGAAAATTTCGAAGGCATGTGAAGTTCGCCAAAACGCATTGAGGCAGCGCGGCGGACATTTCCTAGCCCTGAATACAAAGACAATAGCAGAAAGTGAAAAATTTAAAAAATACTTTTTTAACAACGACAGTCATTAGTTGATCATTAGTGAATGTGATTCTGTTTACTTAAATTACAGGAA